GGAACAGAGAGAGAAACATCGATGTGAAAGGAACACATCAAGTGGCCGGGGACAAACTGCAACCGAGGTACGCGCCCTTAGCGGGAACTGAACCCGGGTCTCTCAGGACCGCAGGCCAACGCTCTCACCACTGAGCCAAACCGGCCGCATACTTATCTCTTAAATGTCTATGGGGCACCTCAAACTTAACATGTTGACCCCATACTAGAATGTGAAGTCCATAAGGATAGGAAGCTGCACTTTATTAGTTTCTGTGCAAGAGTTTTTAAAAAAGTCTCTTGAGCCCTGGCCAGTGTGGCTCAGTTGGTTGGGTGTTGTCCTGCTCACTGAAAGGTTGCCTGTTCCATTCCCAGTCAGGGCACATGCCTGGGTTTCAGGATCACTCGTAGGGGCATGTAGGAGGCAGCCAATCGATGTTTCGATCTCACATGGATGCCTCTTTCTCTCTTCCTCCCCTTTCTTCTCTCTCTAAAAATCAATTTAAAAATCTTAAAAACAAAAAAACTTAAAATTTTTTTTTCTAAACATACTCCTTTCTCAGTCTTCTTTATTTCAGGAAATCACATCACCATCCACCCAGATAGTGAAGACAAAAAAATAAAATCCATCCTTTTAAAAAAATTTTTTTCCCTTTATTGATTTTATAGAGAGAGGAAGGGAAAGGGAGAGATAGAAACATCAATGAGAGAGAACATCAGTTGGCCACCTTCTGCATGCCCCCCATTGGGAATTTGGCCCACAACCTGGGCATGTGCCCTGATGGGGAATCGAACTGGCCACCTAAGAGTTGTTCTTGATTCCTCTCATCCCCTCATTTCCCCAAGCCATCCAATGTACAGGAAGCGTGTGGCTCCCCTGCCATAGTCAACAGAGGCTGTCACTACTCTCCAGCTCTGCAGTTTCCACTATGGTAGGCTAAATAATGACCCTCCATATATGTCCACATCCCAATCCCCTTGTGAATATGCTGCCTTACATGATAAAAGGGACTTTGCTCATGTGATCAAGTTAAAGATCTTGAGATAGGGAGATTATTCTGGATTATCCAAGTGAGCTCAATGTAATCACAAGGCTCCTAATAAGAGAGAGGTAGGAGGATTAGAGTCAGAGACAGAAGAGATGTAAGAGTGGAAGCAGAGATCAGAGGGTGAGAAGATGCTCTCTTACTGGCTTTGTAGATGGAGGAAGGGACCATGAGTCAAAAAGTGCAGGAGGCCTCTAGGAGCTACAAAAGTCAAGAAAATGAATTATCTCCTAAAGTCTTCAAAAGGACTGCAGGTATGCCAACACTTTGAATTTAGCACAGTGAAGTTGATTTTGGAATTCTGACCTCCATAACGGTAAGATGATACATTTGTGTTGTTTTAAGCAAATAAGTTTATGGTAATTTGTTACAGCAGCAATATAAAACTAATACATCACCACCATTTCTCACCTGCACTATTGCAATAGAATTCTGACTTGTCATCCTGGCTGGTTTGGCTCAGCGGTTAGAGCATCAGCCCGCGGACCAGAGAGTCCCTAGTTCCCTTCCCACTAAGGGCATGCACCTTGGTTGCAGTTTGTCCCTGGCCCCAACTGGGGTTGTGTGGGTGGCAACCAGTCGATGTGTCTTTCTCACATTGTTTCTCTTTCTCTCTTCCTCCATCTTTCCCTCAAAAATGTCCTCAGGTGAGGATTAAAAAAAAAAAAAAGAAGAATCCTAACTTGTCTCTGTGTGTCCACTCTTTTTCTTTTCTTTTATTGTGATAAGAACACCTAATGTGAGATCTACCCTCTTAACACATTTTTTTTTTTTTTTTTTGGTACATGCCCCTAGCGGGAACCAAACCCAGGACTCTCTGGCTCGCAGGCCAATGCTCCAACCGCTGAGCCAAACTGGCCAGGGCTTAACATGTTTTTAAATGTACATTATTGTTAACTATAGGCAGTGTCGTACAGCAGGTCTCTAGAACTTATTCATCTTGCATAATTGAAACTTTATACCCATTGATTAGCAACTACCCATTTCCCACTCTTCATTCCTGGCGACCACCATTCTGAAACACTGCTTCTATGAATTTAGATACCTCATATAAGTGGAATAATGCAGTATTTGTCCTTCTATGAGAGACCAGGGTTTGGTTCCCGCTTAGGGCATGTACTTCGGTTACGGTTTGTCTCCGGGCCTGGTTGCATTGTGCGTGCAGGAGGTAGCCACTTGATGTGTCCCTTTCACATCAATTTTTCTCTCCCTTTCTCTTTCTTCCTCTCTCTCCCTCCCACTATATCTGAACAAAAAATGAAAATATGTCCTCGGGTGAGGATTAAAAAAAAAAATTAGCCTAGAAAAGGCAAATTGGTATTCAAGTTCACATGTTTTCAAAGGGCCATGTTTTCAGGTGGTCTTTTAATTATGTTCCTCATCATAAGTGAATTCAGTATCATTTAGCAAGAAGCATCTAATTTTGAATAAATAATTTTAGTACAAAAGATTTAGAATTGGTGTAAAAAGAAGTTATCAAATACTTATAGGCAGAGGGGATTATATAGGCAGAGGGGGTATAGCTCAGCCGTAGAGCATTTGACTGCAGATCAAGAGGTCCCTGGTTCAAATCCGGGTGTCCCCTCACAAGTTTCCTACATTTTCTCACAGAATAACTGGGATGCAACAGTTCCCTGACACATTTATCAATTCCAACTCCAGCTGCCTAGTTTTCTCCTTCAAATGTCCCCCATACCTGAAAAGTAGAGAACTACTCCAGAGGTTGCACAAGGACCACTTTCCTTACTGCTTCTCAGCTGTTCCCCCACTAGGTAGCAAGAAGCCCACCTCTACTCTCAATAGGTGGAAAGGAAGCTATGAACTTTTCCCATCTCAGAGGCTGTTCAAACCTATCGGTCTTGGAGGTGGGTGGGGCAGTATTGTTTTGCCTAGTTCATACTCTGACGGAGAAGACTAGGAGAATGAATCCAAAGTTCAGTAGGTTTACATAATTGCAAAGTTTAACAAGACACACATGGAAGATAAAAGGTGAAAAGTGGGCAGTTTTCTCTTTCATATTTGCTCAAAGACAAGTCTTAGGCATGATAACCTACAGGGGTAAGTTTGAAGCCTGGTATCCAGGAAAGGGGTGAAAAGTTGGTTGGTGATATCTAGGGTCTGGGATTTGCCTCAGATGCATCTCACAGTAATGGGAGTCGTGGGGAAAAATGTGCTGTAATATTCCCCCGGGGCCTTGAGGGATGACACAACTAGATTCCGGGTTTAAAATATCAAGGTGCCCTCTGACCCAAGCAGCATGCCTCCCTCCCTTTCTTCTTTATTTTTCCTTTTTTTGGGCAAAACCTAGTCGGAGGAGCTGCCCTTACTCCCTTCACATTTACTGTTTTTCTTTGGCTCAGCAGTGATACTGTCAGTGACACAACCAACAAATATTTGTCCCTACCTTTAGGTTATGAAACTCGATAGCCTTGTATTACTAGTTTAGTGGTTCTCAAAGTGTGAACCCTTGACCAGCAGCAGCAGCACCAGCACCACCTGGGAACTTGTTAGAAATGCAAATTCTTGGGATTGCAGTCCAGGTCTACAGAATGAGAAATGGGGTTTTATAAAACAAGCCCTCCGGGTGATTCTGATGAACACTCAAGTTTGAGATCCACTGCATTAGTTTATGTCAGTTAGTATCAGGAGGTAACTTTATTTTTGTAAATTAAAATAAGCTTATGGGTGTGCATTGGGCATTTTAACGTTTTCAAAAGTGCTTTGACTCTCTACCTGTGTTATGAACAATAGGGAAGGGTGAACACAGCACATTCATGTCACAGGTAATAAAGAAAGTTGAAGTTGGAGAAAGGCTGTGTCTGTGGGTTTCTTGCTCTTGACCGACCTACACCCCCATCAGAAACAGAACGTCAACTTGGATGAGTCATTTTGCCCCCGGAACCCGTGGCTGCAGAAATCCTGACAGCCCTGGCGCCGGCAATCGTGTTGCGCAGCTTTTGTACCCGATTTGTGCACTATCCACCCTTCCTCCTTCTGCTAGGTACAAAGCAAAACTGAAAGTTTTCCCCTAAGGTTGGAAAATGAGGAAGGAGTTTTTGAAAAACCATTCCTGTTTTCTTTTAATCTAGGACCCAGTGTTAAAATAAAAAGAACAAAAAAGATGTAACTATGTTAGTTACAGGGAAGAAAAACTGCCAAGGGGGCACCCGGATTTGAACCAGGGACCTCTTGATCTGCAGTCAAATGCTCTACCACTGAGCTATACCCCCACGCCGCTCCTGTGCCTGGAGATAGTTCTTTGGGTACCAGGCACTGTTACACCGAGGGTCGATAGTATGAATTGAGAGAAAGGAATAAAGGGAGAAAGGAGGCCAAGCGGAAAGCGGGAGGTACCCGAATCCGGGGAACCCTGGAAAAGCTGCATGGCAGAGGCACCGGGAGGGAAGAAATAGCCCGGGCTGTGAGGTGCTGAGAACAAGCGGGAGGAACGGGTTCCGTCCTACAAAAGTGGGAAAGGATATAACGGGGAAGGGAGGCTAACTGAGGTGTGGGGCAGAGGGTTCCCATTCCGTCCGTAGGTTCATGCCAGGGACCGACGGGTACAAAGGAAAGTCCCCGAATCTGGTGAATCTGTTCGGGCATTCAGGAGTGTTCCAACCCCACCCTCGATGGATGCGAGAGGTTTGCCGCCTCCCGCAGCCCGGGTGCCCCAGATGTTCGGCCAGACCGGCTCCGCGCCTCCTTCAGCGCGGGAAGGGCTCTGGAAAAGTCGGCGTCTCTCCTGGGCGCCTCCAGCTTGGGCGCACCAGGGTGCCCGCGGCCCTGGTGTCTCACCTAGGCACGTACCCGGGGCTCCACAGCCCTGCCCAGAACCCGCCTCCGCGCAGCCCCACGTCTCCCGGGGTGCGCGCCTGGCCGCTCGCGCCCCTGCCCGCGCCCGCGGCGCGTCCCCGCCCCGGTGCAGCCCCTCCTCCCCGCTGTGTTTATTAGGGGAAGGAGGGCGGAGGCGGAGGCTAGTTCCCTAGCTCAAGCCGCCGTCGCCGCTGCCTGTGTAGTTGCAGCCGCGGCCGTCTCCCGCCAGCTCGCTCCGGGGAAAGAGAACGCGCGCGAGCCCGGGCGTCCCCGCCCCAGCCTTTCCTGGAACCATGAATCCCAATTGCGCCCGGTGCGGCAAGATCGTCTACCCCACGGAGAAGGTGAACTGTCTGGATAAGGTGAGCCCCGGGACCGGGAGATGGGTCTTTGCCATTCCCAAACAGTGCTACGGATTGGGGGAAGAGAGAGGGGCCGTGTCTATGCTGCCTCATCCCCGCGATCCCGGGAGGTGGGAGGGAAGGCGGTGTCATGGGGTGTTGGGGACAGACCCCAGTCTGGAAACGAGGAGATCCGAGGCGAGGCAAGGAGTCCATGCGTGGAGGGTAGCCACTATTGGAGAAGAGTCGGCTCTGTGCCCCGGGGTTGGGAGAACGGAAGAGGGGTAGGGAAGCCAGGCCACGGGGTGGGGGCTGGGGGAAGGTTAGGGGTGCAGTTCCGCCCCCTAGGCCCGGGAGAGTGAGAGAGACGGCCGCTCCCTCTCCCCGCCGCCCGGAGCGCCAAGTAGGCGGAAGCGCGGGGCTCTGGGGGAGGGGGCGGCGGGGGGGGGGCGGGGCACAGGCTGGGGGACCCAGCGAAACTGTCCGCTCTGGCTGCGAATGGCTGGGCTTCCTGGCCTGGAGACTGGGCTTGGGGGCTATCAGTCGGCGAGTGTTGCATCTGGTGAACTGGGCTGCAGATAAGGACCTGAACCCCACTGCGAGACCCCCTTTTTGGATGATCTGTAGCCCCCTTGGTGGGTCAGCGGTTGATAGACCACCGATTAACGGTAGCTTCCCAGCCCCCACCCCAAATTAGAGGCCAACTCGCCGTGCTGTGCTGCCCAGTACGAGCGGGGCGGGGTCGGTTGCTGGAGTAGGGTGGGTGGGTGGGAGGGTGCTTCGCAGAGATCTCCTGAAATTGTGCTCAGAGCTTGAGACTGGCTTGTAGAACAAAGAGCTAACTTTTCAAAGCAGTTTTACCCAATGGAGGGTGGGGTTGGCTGAGTTCAGGGGAAGGCTAGAAAAGGGGGAGGTATTTGAGGGGAAGGGAGGGTGGCCTTCTGGAAATTCACTGTCCCCTGGCGGCCTTTACTATTCGTCCCCCCACCCATGCTGGACTTGTTCATCTGGTTGCCATTATACTTTTGGGGGGTGGGTGGAGAGTAGAATTGGGTGTTTCCAGCAGCTTGGGGTAGAATCTGGTCCTCTTTTAAGCTCCCTTAGATCCTAGATCCTGAGGCAAAATCTGCCTCTTCTCTGCATCCCTCCCCAGTGCGGAGGAGGACCCTCTCTGATTTGGTCCCCTTCCTCATCGTACCTTTTACCCACTTATGGAAGCTGGCTCCAAATCCAAATACTCCCTCTTTCTTATCTGAAACGTTAGGGGTAGGGGGCATGGGATGGAAGAGGAGTGCAGAGCCCTAGGGCCAAGTTCATTGCTCACCTGAAGCCATGTTTTATTTTGGAAAGGACAGTTCATTGGATACTTGCTATCTCTCCCCTGTCTGTGGGGGTTGGAGCTTCCTCGGTAACCTTTGGCCTCTGAGTCATTGTGAGAGGGTGTGGGGTTCCAAGGTTCCAAAATACTTTTGAATTTGTTCTTGGATGAAGAGGGCATATGGGGCTGCTGCTGTTTTCACTGTCTCTCCTGGGCTCGGCCAGACAGGAGGAAAGGAGGGCCATATTGTGGACTCAAAGGATGTGGGTGCCGACCTTTTCCACGGGTATTCCAACCTCTGGAAGGTAGGACTTGAGCTTGGAGGCACTAACTGCAGTTATTTGTCCTTGCACGCTGGTGTTTCTGCCCCTCCCTGGTGGTAGGGATTTTGGCCTCCGTAATTTGAGTTCCCTGTGCGCTCCTTCTTCACAGTCATGAATTGGGAAGAGGCTGTGGGCGCTTTTACCCAAATAAGGCAGAAGCAAGATAGATGGAGAGATTGCTAGCCCTCATTTCAGGTGTTCTCCCACCAGCTTTATGAATGGCTCCAGGCCTCAGTATTCACTGTCTGTCAGATGGGTATGATGATGTCATTTCCTTGGAAGGGGGGCAGTGCATTAAAGTGCCCTGAAGGGGATGTGGTATAGGCGATATCTGTCAGATGAGTATGATGATGTCATTTCCTTGGAGGTGGGGCAGTGGTATAGGGGATGTGGTATAGGCTGTGTGCTCCCTGCCTTTCTGGGATACTCTAGTCCCACACCTGGCTCCCCTTGTAAAGAACTTTGGTGCTCTGTGTCAGAGGGGAGGAGGGCAGGAATCCAACAAGGTACCCTCCCCAGCTAGCTGTTCTCGCCCTAGTTGAAGAGAACAGTCAGGTGGGGGGTGCCTGGGAAGTGGGAATTGGTGATTCCTCCCTCTTTTCAGAGCTTTCCCTATAGGAGGTGGTCCTGGGGAAACCTCAACCCCTGCCTGAGCAGGAGGCCTGGAATATCTAGGTATCAGACCTCTTCCTCCTAACCCCCCAGGCAGTAATGACTGGTACTTCCTACTGGGGTACTGGTGCCCCAAGGGCTGAGACCTGCAGAACATTCAGTTCCACAGGCAAGGTTGCTAACCAACTTCCCAAGGCTTTCAATTTACAATAGGAGAGTCAAATTAGACCCACTTGGTTCACTACAATTTTCCTCCGGCACTTAGCCCACAGTCTGACTCAAAGCACAAGCTATGTCCTTTGTGTTAACCTTTTCTCCTCCCTGAGCCTTATCTCCCAAAGGCTTAGGTGGGTAAAAACCGTGATCACCTCTAATGGCCACCCTGCCCCCAACCTGCAGTACCCAGTGTGTTCTGCATGCTGGATAAATATGTATTGCTGATGACAGTGTTTGAGGAAGGAGATAGAGATTTCCTTCCCAAGAGGACTTCTGGGATTAGATTTGGGGGAGAAACAGGGTGACCTCATTGGCTTATTCACTGGACAAATATTTATTGAGTACCTACTTTGTGCCAGGCACTCTGAAGGGTTGCCTCAAGGCCTTTGGGGAGGGAGAGAGAGGCTGTGTCTCTAAATGTCCTCTACATTTTGAAAGAGGTGGATTTTCATCCCAGACCCTGTTAGGAAGCATTTGTATCTGGGGACCTGTGTTGTCAAGAATCTTGCCCTGCCCCTCTTCCTGGGCTTGCTTTCCTGGGTTCCTGAAAACAGGTGGAGACATTCATTCTGGAAGGGTAGAAGATTGGTGGGTGCCAGTTTCCCTGGAATCCCCCAGTAGGAGGGCTCTCTGCCTCTGGTTGTCTGAATTGCCCCCTACCCTACCCTTTCACTCCCATAGGGGGCAGCAAGATAGAAGGAGATTGGCCTGGACACAAAAAAGAGACAAGTCCTGGCAGCTGTGGTGCCCCATTTTCCTAGCAAAAGCTGATCACCTTGTGGCCATTCATTCATAGTAGTTACTACTTACTGCGATGTGCCAGGCTCAGTCTTTGCAGCAGCTTCACACAACAGATGCGGTTGCTCCTGCAAGTGATGAACCCCGTAAGTGTGGCTCATTCCCCTCTCAGCCAGAGCTGGAATTCAAATCTGAAGCTCTTCGTGCTCAGCTCTTCTGCCTGTTATGTTGGCAAAAAGTACTTTTTTTTCTTTATTGCTTTTAGAGAGAGAGGAAGGGAAGGGAGAGAGAGATAGAAACATCAATGAGAAAGAACATCGATGAGAAAGAACATCAATTGGCTGCCTCCTGCATGCCCCCCACTGAGGATTGGGTCCACAATTTGGGCATGTGCCCTCACCTGGAATTGGCGACCTCTTGGTGCATGGGTGGACACTCAACCACTGAGTACTTTTATTGACATTATCTCATTAGCATCCATAGTGGTTCTGCACCTTCCTGACCCTGGCCTGAGGAAAGCTCTGGGCCTGGCCTTTTCCAGGAGCTGAGGTACTAGGGATAATTATCTCCTCCTGGGAATTTGTGGAGATGCAGCCAAGGTCTATGACTTTAAGCCGGCAGCCCAAGGTGGCCAACTGAGCCAGGTTGGTGACCCAGCCAGGCTGGTGTTGTCCCTAGAGAAGGAACTGTAACCCTGGGGGACAGGAAAGGAGAGGAAGGTCTCATACTCCAACCCTGAGTCATGGCCACCCCAGGCAGCCTGGGTGCAGAAGGCAAGATGCCAGGCTACAGGCACAGTGACCTGAGGCTGGCCCATCTCCCTCCCTCAGAGCTCTGAGCAGCACTTCCCCCACCTCCACAGTGATTGTGGAGAGATAGGAGCTGGTCCAAGCCTCACCCAAGTGTGGGAGATCTTACTTCTGCCCCATCAGCCTCTGTTTGCCTTTCTATGGAGTGGGTTTTCTGTCAACGGGGCTTCAGCTTTGGCACTGCAGGTTAGGGAGACTTAAGGGCAGGACTAGAGCCTGGGAGATGGGCTGAGAGGCTTCTCACAGACACCAGAGATCTGATTTTTTGTGAAAGGGAAGCAGTTGGCTTCCAGGCCAGCGGAGAATTAGAGTTGACTGCCCAGAGTTGTACTTTGCTCCCAATTTTTAGTCCCAAGTCCCGAGTCTCAGGAATGCTCTCTGAAATCTTCTTATTGGGGCCTTAAAGAAAGGAGGGGCAGGGCTTATGGGGCAGAGGAAAGAGGCAGACAGAGAGGGTCATTGTGGGGTTTTATTGACTTATTTCCCTGACTGTGTTGTTCACCAGACCTGATTGAGACAGGGATGGGGGGTTTCCTTGGGGTGCCCGGTCCAGGCTTAGCCTACAGGGGCTGAGTGACTCCCCATATTCTGTCCTCCCTCCCTTCCACTTTCCTGCTGTGAAAACGACACAGCGGCAGGAGCTGCTGGAGTCCCCGAACCTTGGAGCCCTCCTCCAGAGAGCGAGGAAAGGGACCTGAAGCAGCTAGCTTAGAGCATGAGTCATCTCCTTACTCCTCCCAGCACCTCTGTGGGACTCTAGTTTTAGTTCCACTTGCTGCTGCAGAGAGCGAGTTTCGTGGTTACCCCGAAAGCACTCAGATCACCTGTGCTTGTATTATTCTGCTCCTGAGCCCCCTGCAAGGGGATAGGAGACCACTCCCCCAGCTGAAAGCGAGGGGTCTCTGGGGGTATGGTGAGGAAAGGCTACTGATAGAAATGGGCACCACCCCCTCATGTCAGGGCTTCCCTTCAAAAAGCAGCTGGGAGGGGTCTTATGGAACCCCTAGATTTGGTGTTGGCCCTATACCCCCAGCCCCATCAGTATACCCTGCCCCTCTTGCCAAGGTGCTTGGCTCCAGGGTGGGATCCTGGCCATCTGCTAGGGTAGGGGTATCTGTCTCCTTTCCTTTGTCTCCCCCAAATCAATCAGGAGGCAGCTTGGGAAGTCCCCAGTCTCCTAGTACAGTGCCCATCCCTACAGATGTGTGTGTGTGAGAAAGTGGGTCATGGTCTGGATTCCAGAGAATGTTTTTCCTGGCAGGCCCCTGTGGGGGTGGGGGAGGGGGCCCAGGCAGGGGCATGTGCAGCTAAGTAGGCAGAGGCCAGCAGACTGGGTGGTGACAGGGCTGGGGCACACTGCCAGTGCCTCCCAGGTATTGGTGGAGGGAGAGGGGCTGCCACTTTGGGGGCTGACGGGGGCAGGGGCTACCCTGTTCTAGTTTTTCTGGTGGGATATATGTGTTGAGGTTTTGCACCTTGAGTCTGGGCTGGGTTCTGGGATAGGCCCCATTGGGGTGGAGGCCAAGCTTAGACCAGCCATCGCTTTGCTTCCAGACTTCCAGCTGGCCTTCTTCCCCAAACAGTGGTTCCCCCATCACTTCATTTACTGTTTCACCACTGGAGATTCCTTTGGATCTTCTTGACAGGGGAAGTACCCTATTAGAAGGTGATTACCTCCCAAAGTACCCCATGGTCTCAGGTTGAAGTGGGCCAGGGTGGAGGACATGGTATCCCAACCTCCCAGCTTCCTTTATTTTTTGTTTTTTTCTGTCTCCTCCAAAGTAGCCCAGAAGCACCCTTGGCAGGGAAACACATTTTGAAAAGCACTTGCCTTAGGGGATTTCCTTGGCAGATGGCCAAGAACCAGCACTGTGCTGGTCACCTTCAAACATCTCTCTAGGCCCTTCCCCAGCTTCTGGCCTTCTTTGAGGGCTTGGGAGTGTCTCCCTTGACTGCTGGGAACTGGGACAGAAACAGGCCAGTTGGGTCACCCAGGCAGCCTGGATTCTCGGGTCTTGGAAGCTGGACTCCTGGTCAGTGCAGATCCCAGGGCATTGTCCTGGGCTGCCAGGGGCAGATTTAGGGCTCATTTGCATGGGTTTGCCTCATGTCAACAGTACTTTGGATGAGGTCACTTCTGTTGCATCCTGTTCTGCTCCATTGGCCATACTGGATTGGTCCTGGGTACTCTGCTCTGGGTCTCTTGGCTGTGCTGGAGTCTTACCTGTCACTTACGGTCACCCACACCATTGCTGTGGCTGGGCACAGTAAAGCCCCATCTGCACCCAGCACACACACACCTCCAGTGTGAGTCGAGCCCTCTTGGCTGAGGTTCACATCTGCTGTGCCCAGCATCTAACATTCGGGAACTTAAAGGTGCCAGGTGCTGTGCTGAGGGCTTTGCAGGTGATTTCTCATTGAATCCTCAGCAGTCCCAGGAGAGGCAGGTATCATTCCATCCTGCAGACCTGGAAATGGCTCAGAGACATGGTCCCTGATCAAGGTCGCATAGCTAGTCAGGGTGGAGCTGTGATGTCCACTGTGGCGGTTCCCCTTCCAACACTTTTAAGAACTCTTCATTGCCTCCTAATGTGTGCTCTTCTACTGATTGAGGGCTGGGGGGAGGGGGGGGAGGGAGAAAGGGTGCAGGATCCGTGGCTAGAGTTGGAGCACCCACTCTCATCCTCTGGTTGGGGGTCCCTCAGGAAGTGGGAGGTGTCAGAGCTGGAGCCCCTGCTGTGGGAGCTAGGAGTGCCTGGGTTCTGGGCCAGGGTGCTCAGGGGCTAGGCCGCCTCCTCTTCTCTAGGCCTTGTCAAGGCTGAGGAGCTGCCCCTCACGGTCAACAACAGGCTTCTTAGCAACCCTGGTACAGCTTTGCATAAGCAATAAGCCTTCTCCAGCTGGGGACAGGAGGCGTGGTCTGGGAGGTGGAGCTGACCTTTTGGGCACAGCTCACCACTACTATTACTGGCCTCTTCCCCACTCACACTACACATATGTGCTTCTCCCCCTCCTTACAGCTCAAATGGCTGATTGGGGGAGGGGAGACTGTCATTAGCTGCCAGAGCCTGTGACCTGAGATGTTTCCAGCTCACCTGGAGTGATTCTATGCTCCATTCCCCTGGATGGAGCTAGAATGCTCCTTCCTAGGGCCTGAGCCCCCTTCCTGAAGTCCTGGTGTCTGATGGATGTCCTCCCTCTGCCTCTGTCCCCAGTTCTGGCATAAAGCATGCTTCCATTGCGAGACCTGCAAGATGACACTCAACATGAAGAACTACAAGGGCTACGAGAAGAAGCCCTACTGCAACGCGTGAGTCCTGCCGTGGGCAGGGGGCTGGGTGGGTCCCTCGGCTCCCTTCCTCATTCTTCCTTTGGTTCTAACAACCACAAGGTGATATTGCCAAGCACCTCCACACTCTGCTTGATTAATGTCAATCACTTCTTCCAGCTGTGGTGAGGATTAAGTGTAAGGGCTCTTATTATTCCCATTTCACAGAGAAGTAAACTGAGGCTTAGGGAAGGGAATGGATTTTCTCAAGATTACATGTCTGGTGAGAGGGTAGTTCAAACCCAGTAAAACAAGCATGTTCCTCCCGCTGCACCCTGCTGCGAGGGAGGGATCCAGTGTGGTCTCAAGAAAAAGTGACCTGCCCTGTTTCTGCCCATTTGTGTTCTTTGCTTCTCCTTTCTTCATTTCTGTCCCCATGACAGCAGTTGAGTTACTGTCTCCATCTCTCACCTGCCCCCTGCCAGAGAGCCTGGGCACTTGGCTTTGGGGGCTCTTGGCTGCAGCCCTTCCTGGTGTTCATTTCTTGAAAAGTGGGGGCAGCAGGAAGGGGTGGCCTGGCCTGGGGCAGAGCTCTTCCTTGTCTGGTGAGGGAGCTGTGGGGCCCTTTAGTCTTTTCCAATGGAGTTGGCTTGGACTCTGTTCCTTTTGCACTGGGACCTGCAGCCAGGCTGCAGTGGGGAGGTGGGCAGGGGAGGGTCCCTCATCCCGTGCTGTTCCAGAGAGTACAACACCTTCCATTTTCAGGGTGACCTCGTTTGTGTAGCAAGTGCCACCTTAGGCCTCGTCTGCAGCACACGGAGGACCTCACAGCCACCCTGCTAGGTCAGGTCACTTCTTGTAGGTGGCAAGAACAGTATTCAAAGCAGTTCAGCATCTGATGAGTCCAGTTTGTTTTTTCATTCCTGGTCAGGGGGCTCTTTGCAGCTGAAGTTTACCCAGGAGGGGGACTTTGAGACTTGTCTAAGAGGAGTTGGGGTCTTGAACCCCTTTGAAAGGCTGCCTCTCCCTTTTTGCACCCCCAATCTCCTGCTACTACCACAGCTTCACCTCCTTGGTGGTTTTCATTCATTAGGTATGTATTGCCTGCCCGCTGCTACATGCCAACCCGTTCCAGGTGCTGGGAAAACAGATTTCTGATAAAATCTTACATTCAAGAAGCAACATGTGTGTTGTCCCTTCTGGAAGGGCTTGGGGCACTGGGAAGGGTGCCTGGGGTAGAAGGAGGGTCCCCATCCTTCCTTCAGCTGCCCCTTCTCTTCTATTAACTTACACTGCCCCCCTCAGCCCCTCCCACCCCCCCAAGGGAAATGGGACATTCCTCAAATTCTTAAGGACTCACACAAGCCCTGATTCTCAGCCACTTCCTCCCTCTGTTGGGGAGTGGGGTGGGGTTCAGCAAAGCCAGAGGCTGGGGCAGTTTTAACCTCTTGATTGCTGGTCCATTTCAGGCTGTATTCTGGGCACTGAGGCTTTTATGTGGACAGCTTCTGACCCTCAGCCCCTCCAGGCAGAAATCTGGAACCCCAGCCCAGTGGGTAGCAGGGACTGATGCCTATTTATTTATTTATTTATTTATTTATTTATTTATTTATTTTGTCAATCCCCACCCGAGGATATTTTTCCATTGATTTTTTAGGTAGAGTGGAAGGGAGGGAGGAAGGGAGGGAGGGAAGGCGATAGAGAGAGAAACATCAATGTGAGAGGGATGGAACCTGCAAGCCAGGTATGTGCACTTGACTGGGGATCAAATGGCGAGGGTCTGTGGGCTGACCATGGGCTGACGCTCTGAGCTCTAGCCATTGAGTCAAACTGGTCACGGCGGGAGTGGTGCTTCTTTACAGCTCTTCCCTAAGACTGCAGTAGCCTAGAATTCAGTGAGCGTTGGGAGTCGGAGAAAGAAATCAGAGGTGTGTCCTTGTTTTCTCTGTATTTTCTCAGCCTAGTGCTCAAGTCCCAGCTTCCTTTTCTCACTCTCTTCTGCGGAGGCTGCAGTAAGTGGGGTGAGGAGCTCCTTGCACTAGTTGGGGGCTCCAGGGGAGGCAGAAGGTGAAGCTTCCCTCCTTGGATGCTGCTTGCAAGCTGCCTAGGCAGAGGTTCCCCATCTGTCTCCTGGCCCCTAGCCAGAGAAGCAGGTTGACCCTTCTCCATTCCTCCAGCCCTTATAGCCTTGGCCTGAGCCATGCCCAGTTGGCTGTTGGCCCAGCTGGGATATTACCTGGGTAGGAGAAGACTTTGTGGTCCAGGTGTGTTTTACACCAGCTGTAACAGTGTTACTGGTAAGATGATGAGACCTTGGTTCTTGTCTTCTTGAAGGAAAGATTTCAATCAAGAGATAAAGCAAGAATTTATCGGCCACAGCAAAAACACACTTAGGACAGAGAAACAAGGAAGGGCATAGAAGCAACAGAAGAGTCTAGGCGGGGCTGCTTTGGCTCACTGGGAAGTCAGAGAAAAGGGGCCTTAGAGCCAGGGTCAGGGGGTTGGCCCTGGACTAGCTGCCGCTGCCAATTGCTCCCCTGGTTGCAAGTCTGTGGGGTCCCTTAGAGAGAAACAGGGGGGAAGGGAATTGTACAGGTGTGCTCCCTTGAGGGAGAGTTTGTGTTGAGGGTATTTATCTCTCTCTTACAGGTGGCAATCTTAGGGGAGGTCCGGGGGAGGGTCTCAGTAGAATATCAGTTTTGCAGGTGTGCTCTTTCGGGGTCCTGGTCTTTACTGATTGATCGATGCCTGGGCAGGGGACCACTAGTCAATATAGTTGGTCTGAGGCAGCCAGGGTGTCACTTGTCTGGTTTTCCTGCTTTTCTGGGCCTGGAGCTGAAATACACCTGAGGCCTAGATGTTATCTTTAGGGAGGAAAAGGTCAGGAGGTCATACTCAAGGATATGAAAGATCAGGGGTCCTGGGGATGAGGTTCTTGTTTTCCCAGTTTTGCCCTTTGCTAGGCATCCAGGCCTTTCTGCTCGTATCTGTCTAACTGCCTGTAACGGTAGCAGCTTGCCCGGGGCATTTGCGCTCCCTCAGCCAGCTTCTGCTGAGCACTTGGTCCGTGCCAGCTGTCCAGACATGGAAATTCCAGGGTACACCAGATGCAGGCCTGGCCTGCAGGCAGCGCCCTGTAGACCTGTCTGTGCCTCGGTTTCCCTGTGGTTAAAACTTCCTACCCTGGGACACCGGACCAAGGACTATGGAGTACCTGCTGTGTGCCAGGCACTGTGCTGAGTGTCCACTCTCCTTCAGTGACATCCAGGTTCCGAATTCTGGGGTGTCCAGAGTGTAGTTTTTCCCTAATTCCCATCCTGGCTTTGCTCTGTGGACCAGGCCTGGCTTCCTTCTCAGCAGCACCTCCCACTCAGAACCCAGAGAGGCAGGTGGTCTCTGCTGGCACTTTGCCAGGGAGTTGGGCCCACCCAGTGAGTGAGGAAGAGTTTGTGTGCAGGGAGGCCTTTGTGTCCTGCCTGTCTCTGGCTAGTCCCTGTGCCAGGATCTTGCAGGGAGTGGTCAAGAGAGAAGAGACCTCTCTGCCTTTTCCTGGTGGCATCTCAAGACTAGTTTAAGTTCTGGAAAGTGACTGTAAGTAGCAAAAAGGCCTCTTCTGTTTCTCCCCTTGCACCAGACTTGCTTTGGATTGAGGCATGGGGGAGAATACAGGCCAGAGCTCAGCTGGCCTGCTGGGCGGCAGTGGACCCCTGTGGACATGCACTTACACGTGTGCCTGGTATGTATCCAGACACACACGCTGCCAGACGTGGGGCTGGGGAGAAAAGCCAGGGAGGTCGGCTGGATAGGCTGCGTTTGTGTTCACACTTCCCTGGCCACAGCCACCCAGGCGCTGCTGTGCTGTGGCGAGGTAGAGGCGTGCATGCCTGTTGTTGTACAATAGCCAACGGTGGAAGAAGCAGTTAATGGAATCTTTTCTTGAAGCTCCTCTGTAGGTGGGGTGAGTCTGCTCCATTTTGGTTAGAGGGCTAGTTATATCCTTGATTATTTGTTTTGTAAACTCCATTTTCTGAAAGGGGGGCAGATCTGTCCACACCACAAACCTGCTGCTTTGTTTTCATGCAAATAGTCAAGGAGTCTGGAGGTCAGTGGCAGGGCGGGGAGTGAGGAGGGGAGGGGGGAGAAATGCGCTGTTCTCTCCTCCTTGGGGGCCTTGACTCAGTTGAGGCTGCAGACCAGGGGTGAAGTTGCAGGCCAGGAGGGGAACCAGCTTCTGGGGTGTCAAGTGGAGGAGTAGACATGGGTTGGGGAAGAAAGGGGGTACTCCATTGTGTCCTTCCCCTCTTCACTGACTGCAGATATCCTGGGTCCATTCTTCAGTTGTCTTGAGCTGTGGGGTGAGGGGCTGAGCAGGATGGAATGGTTCTGGGAAACAAGGGACTGTGGTCCTGCTCCCTCTGCCAGGCCTCCAAGGATGGGGTGGGCCTGTGCTGGTGGAGCTGGATGCTCAGAACATCTCTGGATTCTAGCAAACTGTCTCAAATCCAGGTCTGGGGCGTGGGGTTTTCCCGCCTCCCCAGATTGTTCTGCCTGTGACTGGACATAATGGGATCAGATGTCTCAGGGAGCCAGGGTAGCATGAGGAATGGGAGGGGTGCGTGTGGTGTGTGGTGGGACAGGGGAGGCATGCTCAAAGGGGTAGTCACAGTGGCCAAATGCAGCCTCCGAGGCACCCCCACACCTCACTCTCATCCCCAAATCCTTGCACTCAGAGATGTCAGGGCCTCAAGGAACCTTGGGGTTCCTAATAACCCCATTTCATAGATGAGGAAACTGAGGCCCATGGTTTCCATGCATTGCCCAACTTGGCAGAATCATTCCTTTTTATGTATTGCCATCAGGGGCAGTAGCTGGCTTTACAGTTTGTTTCTAACCCCTAAGGGCTGGTAAGTTCTTCTTTATGTCTAGCCTTGATCTTTTCAGCTGCTCATTTTTTTTCTCTGGTTAAACAATGCCTCCTTGTTGCTTCCTATCCCCACCACCTCAGCCCTTAGGCCTGGGGGACTGGTGAGAAAGTGGGTTAGAAGGGAGCCCTCCCTGCTGCCCATGGCAGTGTTCCCAGCAGGGGATCACAGCTCCTTCCAGAGGCAGGATGTCAGGACTATTTTTCCCCCCTTTTGGTAAAACCAAAGGCTCCTTGTTGCTTTTGTTAATGTATTTTTGTTCCTTCTTGAACACAAAGCTGTGGTTTTTGAATGAGTCTGAGGTTGGAAGAGGCGAGGTTGCTTGCAGAAGGGGGCGCTGGGCTCTCAGGCTCTCTGGTCTGTTTTCGTTCAGCCTCTGGAACACAGCTAGTGGCAGGACTGGGAGTGGGGCAGTGCCCTCCAAGCTGTCCTTGTCCCCCACAAGCTGTCCCTGTCCCCAGTAAGCCCATAAGCAGGAGCCCAGCATCTTCTCAGCACCCTCTCTGTCTTTACAAGGGAGCTCAGGGGTCCTCAGGAATAAGCCCTTTCCGGGGACAGAGGGCCCCTTCTCCTGCATCCCCACAGGTCATTGTCTGGACTCTCAAGACACCTGCTTTAGAAAAGTTATATGGAGAAGGTAGCTTCTGACCCAGAGGGTCTCTCATCATGGCCAAGCTTGGAAACAGGTTGGGTTTGAGAGATGAATTACTTTGTTCTCCATCTACCCTGCCAAGCATATCTGTCCCCAGAGGCCTGAGAGCTGGGGGTGGACTGGGGTCCACCTGAGAGAGAGATGTCAGCTTGCCCTTAGCTGGCTGGATAGCTGTGGTGAATGGAGAGTGCATTGAACAAGGTCTCCCTCCTTGAGACTGAGCCTCAGTTTCTTTCTCTATAAAATGGGCACATTGATAACACTGCCTTTTCTAGTCCATAGCTTTGTGGCAGATTTTAAGAGGGAATGTGCATGGGACACAGTCTATCAAGAAGTCTCTTTGTGTGCCTGTAAGTCCCTTGGAGGCCTAGGCTACTACTAACAGCTGCCTGCTTTCCCTGCCCCACTCCTGTTTTTGCCTTCCTGGATGCTAGATCCCTTCCCCTGTCTTCCCAGACTTCCTGTCCTGTGCTCTCTCCATGCTTCTCTTACCCAAAGCAGCTAATCCTGCTACGAGGGTGGGGAGGGGCATCGCAGAGGCCCCAGTGCTTGGAATGATTAACAAGGAGGCTGGTCCACGAAGGGACAAAGAGCAGCTGTGCTCTGGACCCAGCTCTGGGCCAGGGTTAGGACGCCTGGTTCTCCCCATGCTGGCCCCTTGTTCCCTCACCATGGCCCAGTCTGTTGGTGGGGCTGGAGTTCCACTGGGGTCACTAGCTGGGGGCAGGTGGCCCCTCTTCTGTCTCAGTGCCCACAATGGCATCCACATACATCCATTCATTTCTACTGGGATGGGAGGGTAGTGGGTGGACAGAGCTTTAACCTGACAGAGAGGGAGTGAAAAGGTAAAATTCCCAGCAATTGTTTCTGGAAGGAGGTCAAATCAGTCGGAGCCCTTTCCAGGGCAGTCATACTGGCGGGGGAGGGGCACAGCGCTGATGTTGCTGTGTCCACCCCTCTAAAAAATTTGTGGCACCTGTCCTCCTCACCTAAATTGTCTGCAAGGATCCTGCAGACGCAGTCTCCTGGTTTTGTCCTCATGGGTCCTCTGCAGTTGAGGACACCCTTGCTGTCTGTCTCCTCCCCACCCCCACAGACCCTCTCTCTCTGCTCTCTCTGCTCTCCTGCCTGGAGCTGAGGATGAGGTTGCCATGGGAACCTGAAGCGCAGTGAGGAGGGGAAGGGAAAGGCAGGGTTGTCAAGCTAGGGCTGGGGGCTGTGGGGAGGGGACAGGGTTGACCCAGCAGGGAGAATATAGCCCAACTGCATGTCCACCTGCCTGCCTCTGGCCTGGGGTTGGGTTTAGGAGGTGGGGGTAGAGACTGGGGGCTTTGCAGCTCTTCCTAAATCTAGTTAATCTGATGCAGGATTAAAATCCCTTTCCTTCCCCTGCCCTATTAAGCCGAGTCAACATCGAGGCTGGTTACCCCTTCCCTTCTGATGGGGTTAGTGTTCTGGCTGTGGCAGGGCTGAGATCTGGGGGTCACATAACTCCAAGGAGAGGATGAAATACCCGCCGACCCCACCCACAGGTACTTGCTGCCTGTTGGGGCTCCTGAGACCCTTCTGGTGGCATGTAGGAGGTGTGTGAATGTGGCTGCAATGTGCACTGTGGCACATGGCCCTGATGCCTGTGTCTAGGAGACGCACATCCCTGCAGAAGGCTCCTCTGTACATTTGTTGTATGTGAGGAATAATGCAGGGTGTGCAGGGGCCTCAGAACTGCAGGGTGGGGGTGCACGTCAGGTACACAGGTCTAGCTGTCCTTGGGCCTCTGGCACTGTTTGAACTGTGTACACGCAGGCAAAGGGGAAAGCCCAGGTTTGTAGACTGGCTGCCATCGTGTGTGTTTGTCTTTTGCCAAGGCGGCCAGCTGCCCTTCCGCACAAAATGCTGAGCAGTGCCATCTTCTCAGAATTGATCCTTCAAACTCTGGGCCAGAGCTTCCCTGGAGGTCTCCTCTGTCCCCCTGCTGTAGGACCTAACCTCCCTGCCACAGGAGTCTGTCCTTACAGATGCTCCCCACACCCCCAGCCCAGGTTGCCTTCAGAATGGCTTTTTTTTTTTTTAATTTATTTTTGTTACAGATGTTTCTTCTCCCCTCTCCCCCGCAGACACCCTCCTCTCTAGCTCCTGCCCCACCAAGCATTGTGGTCTATGTCCATTGGTTACATATGCATGCATATAAATTCTTTGGTTTATCTACCCCCCCCTTCCGCCCCTCTCCTCTGCAGAATGGCTGTTATTTGGTGGGAGGGTCATCTCTGAAACTCTCCCTTAGAACCTCAGGGCCAGCCAGTTCTGCTAGAGATCTTACTTGGATCCCTCCTGCTGTTCTCTTTCTAGCCTCTGGGAACAGGCTCACAGTTGGTCCTTCCTTTCCCTGGAACTGCTCAGGAATTTTGAATGGCGCTCCTCAGCTGTGGGTGGCCCTGGTTTCGTGGAACTGGGCCAAGCCTGGGGACTGGACCCACAGCCTTAGCCCCACATTTATCCGCAGGCCATGCCAGCTACAGGCACCTGTGTTTACTTTTCAGTCTCCTCTCTTTCCTCCCTCTGCTGGGACAGCTGCGGGCCTGGGCTGACCTGGGAGGCAGGACCCAGGCTGGGCAGTGGAGGCTAGGAGTTGGGACACAGCTAGAATCACTTAGGTCCAAGTTAGTGAAACTAACCCAGAGGGGAAAAGGATCTGCCAGTCACCCAGAAAATCAGTGGCAGGGCCAGAGTCCAGCCCGTTGCCCTTACCCCCTTGGTTGAGTCCTCCAAACCCCAAGTCCTGCTCTTCACTGAGGGAGGTCATGCATTCACCAGTAGTTCTGGTTCAGGCAGCTGGAGAACGTGCCAGGTTTGGTGAGGACACAGAGACCAGGGGGTTGCTCATGTCCAGCTCTAGGGCACGTCAGCCGGCTGGGGTGCAACATGCCCAAAAGGGGGCAATCCTCCTGTGAGCTGGGGCCAGCCTGTGAATCAGGGATCTGCCAGCAGTCACAGCTGTGATGGGGTGTGGTCACCCAGTGCTGGAAATGGCCAGATCTCGGGCTTCTGCTTAGAGAAGCCACCCACCAGTCCCTGAAATAGTTGGGGCCAATGCCATCCCCCAACATTTCACATACCAGCACATGTACACAAGCCACTGTGACTCAGGGACTGCCTCTTTAGCTGGTTTGCTGGGGATTTTGTGATGACCTAGTGGGATGTAGGAGACTAAGTTCTAGTCCCGGCCCAGCTTCAATGCCTGGTGTGACATTCATTTATTCAACAAATATTTACTGGATACTAGTTACTAATCTAGGAGTTTGGGATATATAAATGACCAAAAGAAACAAAAAAACCCCTGCTCACCCCATAATGAAATAGTGGAGAGAGAAGACAATAAACCGATATGGTAAGTTAATTGTAAAGTCACCTAAGTGCTAGGTGTTTGGTGCCAGTGTGCTGTTTCCTCCTCTGGGAAATGAAGGGGTTGGGCGGGATGGTCTGAGGTCTCTGCAGACTTGGCTCTAAGGGCTTCCCTGGCTCCTGCTGCCACCACACCAGCACTCTTTCTGGGGCACAGGACTGTGGTCTGTCTGGTGCCTGGAAACTGAAGGGTTTGGTTCGGGGTGCTGGTCCTGCGGAGATTGTCTGGGCGCCAATCTGGACGCCAGCGCTTACTGGCCTTGTGCCTTGGCCACATTGTTTAACATTTCTGAGCCTCAGTTCTGTCATCTGTCAAAGGGGGACAGTCGGGTGCTTGTGAGAATTTGATGAACTAAGGCATGTCATGCCCTTAGCACAGGGCAGACATCACTCGTTGTGACAGTGTTGCCTGTCACCCGAGGGTGACCTCTTTTCTGGCATCAAGCTGATCTCTCTCCTACACTCCAGTGAAGTTGGACCTTTTAGCCCTTTGAAGTACCACCCTGGATGTGTGCAATATTCTCTCCTCCAGGAAGCCCCTAGATCTGCATGTCCCTTTCCCCTTCATTTCTGACTCCATCCTTCCTGCGCTTCCTCCCCTTGGTTGGTCTCCATTTCTGGTCTGAGCTGAAAGCTTTGTCCTAACCCCATCCTCATCTTCTCCCCAGTCTGGCGAAGTCCCCTCGACTTCCCTGGTTGATAGAGTCTAAGGCATGGGTTATCCCCAAACAAGGGTGTCCCTGTGGCCTCCCTTTGGTTCAGGACAGTTCTCCATGGCCCACCAGCCACTCAGGCCTATTGTGTCTCCCAGTTCAGCCCAGGCTGAGTCTGAGAGACACTTGCCTCCCTCTGCATGGGCTGTGGACGCTGGTCCAGCTCCTGGGCAGGAGTCGGGCCCGTCCATGGATACGAGGAAGTTGCCAGGAGAGTCAGGGGTCTGTGAGAAGTCCAGAGGTTCCTGCCCTTTTCTCAGAGTGACCTCCACTTGTTTTTTCTGTCCTGCAGACACTACCCCAAGCAGTCCTTCACCATGGTGGCTGACACTCCGGAAAACCTCCGCCTCAAGCAACAGAGCGAGCTCCAGAGTCAGGTGAGGGGGCGGGCCGGTGCTGGGGTGTGGGGAGGAAGGGCTGTTGTAACCCCTGCATTTAGCAAGGGCTTCTTCCTCCTGGGGTTACTCAGCAAGGCCAAGGTGCTGAAATCCTAGCACTTGCCTTGTCTCGCTGCCCCCTTCCCCCCACCCAGTTATTTAGTATTTCCTGAGTTATCAAAGGAGTAGGGGAGGGCATGCCCCCTTCTTACCTAACGTGAACTGGAGAGGTGTTGATGTCGATTCTTTCTGCTCTGGGATATTTCATGTGGGGCCCCTAAAGCCCACCTCCTCCAGGCAGCTGTTCCCCTCTTTTTCCTCTCCACTCACCCATCCACCCTCAAAGGAGGGAACTCACCTCTCTAGGCTCATGTCAGTCTGAGGTTACACAGCCCACCCTCTGTAGCCTCCTGCACCCCTCCAAGGGGGCCCTGGCCTGGGGGTCTTGTCTGCCTTTGTCTCCTTGGGCCTGATTTTCCTGAGCACCTGCTGGGTGGGGAGCAGTGCGTACCATGCATTAGGGGAGGAGATGGGGGTTCCTGCCCCAGGGAGAACTCAATCTTTGGGGGACCCTGAGGAATAAGATTCCTGAGACCAGAACAGGGGACTCTGCCTGGGGGCCTGGAAGGACGTCTGAGACAATGTGGCCTGGACTATGGCATGGGGCAGGTAGTGCAGCAAAGATCTTTTGGGGAACTTAACCCAGGGTGCCCAGGGCCAGGGAAAAGTTGCAGAGGAGACCTCTCCTGCTCTTTGTGGAATGGGGCTCCTGCCGCATGATCTTGACATGACCTCTCTGGGCCCTATTGCCCAGCAGATCTTCTGAGGGAGAACTAGCCCTGCGCTGTCCAGGCTTTACATGCATTCTCTGATCGAGTCCTCCCTGCACCCTGTGAGGAAGGTACTGTTTTCCCACTGTACAGAGGAGGAAACTGAGCCTCGGAGACATTAAGGGACTTGCTAAGATCATGCAGGGAGTATAGAGGTAATAACAGTGTTAACAGCCAGTACATCGAGTGCACACTGAGTGAGCATTCAGTCGTCACAACGCCCCGTGCAGTGGCAGGATCGGTCCCACTCTGTGGAAGAGGAAGTAGATGCTGAGAACCCTGAATGCTGGTTTGTCTCACTCTGGAGACTTGTGTTCTTTCCGCTTCTCCGTCCATCTTTCCGAGGAGCACTCTCTACCTTGAAGCATGCTGGTGAGGACTTCTGTAGCTTAGCAGGTGCTTGGCCTCATTTATCCTTGACCCTCCTTGGGGGTTCAGAAGAGGGAACCACGGCTGAGACAGGCACTGGCCTTTGGCTGTGGACACAGACGCTAAGTGAGGTTTCAGTATCTGGGTTCTGCTTTTTTCACCCTGGAGTATAGTGACCTTGACAAGGGCAGCCCAGGTGGGGCCCACAGTGATGGGGAGCAAGTAGGGGAAGCTGGTTTGTTCTTTGGCAGCAGCTCACACTTGCCAGCCTGGCCCCCAGCTCTGCTGTGGTAAAAGCTGTAGTTACTGGGGGAACTGGTGAGGATATCAGACCTCTGCCAACCGAGGGGGGGTGGCCCAGCTGGCGGGAAGAGGGGTTAAGACAGCCCTGGGGCCTGGGCCTGGTCTGCACAGAGAAGATTCTAGCCAGACCCTGACTACTGCCCCGGCTTCCCTAGTCTACACGGAGTCCACAGGGGCCAGAGATGGAGGGGGCGTCATGGGGGTGGGTAGGCCAGAGCATCTTGGGGCAACCTGTACTCAACCCACAGCCTACGAGGGGTCGTCAGAACCCCAAGGGACCAGAGGAAGAGGTGTGTGAGGAGACAGTGGGTGCAAGGTGCAATCCAGAGGTGTGGGAGTGTATGTACACCCTCGGTGAAGGCGAGGGCAACACACACACGTGCATACTCTCAGGAGAAGAAATTTGAATCAAACTAATTTCCTAGCCTTTGTTAGTCTCACAAAAGCTTAGCTGCAGGTCTTTTTTTTGTCCCTGGAACCCAATCCCCGAGGGGAACCCCCTGCTCCCCAGAGGCCCTCCTGAGTCATCTTCTAGGCTCCTGGGCTCCTGACTCTCAGGCAGGCTGGGGAAATCATGAGAATGGCCGTCACTGTCCAGTAGGTCCTCACTGAGAGCCAGGCCTTGACCTCATTGAATCCTCACAACCAGCTGATGGAGGGACCGTTGTCCCCATGGGGACACTGAGGTTTAGAGAAGCCCTGCTATTGCCCTGGTGCAGATTTCAAGCCCTTTGCTCTGAGCAGTCTGCAGCCTGCTCTGGCCCCCGGCCTCTTGCTCTCAGGATGCACCAGTCACCAGAAGGGACTGGGGAGCTTGTTAGAATGCACCCAAGGAGCTTCCGCGTGGAGCCCAGGAATCTGTGTTTTGACCACCCTGGTGATTCAGGTGAAAGCTTTGGGCCCCACAGACATAATTTGAGAGCAGGGCTGGGGATCAGGCAGAGCGGAGGGGCCTGAGTTCACCCTCTTTCTGCTGTGAGGGGTGTGAGCCCTGGGAGTTAGGGCTTTGTATTGAGAGCATAGCTCTAATCTCCTATAGCTGGGCTCCTAAGGGCTGGGGGCTGGGGTAGGCAGGGTGGAGGCAGGACCGGTCTGCCCTCTTTGCAGACCTGGGTCTGTCTCCCCTCCACCCCCCCAGCTGTGTGGTCTGAGCCTGGCCACTTGCCTCATGGCTTTTTTTCTTCGCCAGTAAAACGCGGATAGCAAGGCCCAGTTGCCTAGAGGTGGGGGGTGGGGTGGCTGGGCCTGCTGCTCTGAGGCTTGGAGGGCTGAGCTGGCCTGGCTGGGGGTGGTGACAGGTTCTGGTTCCCGTGGGTGGCCGTGCCGCTGTGGGGGCAGGGCCGGCTCTGGCTGCCTGTGGCTGGCGGGAAGGGAAGTGGGAGCCTCCTCTGCCTACCCTGCCCCACCCCACCAGGGTGTCAGCTGGTCTCTTTCCAGGGCCCCTTCCTGGGCTGGCATCAGTGTGTCTCAGCCCTTCTCTGTCTCTGGGAAGCCGCCTGTGCTATTTCAACTCTGTTTTCCTGTCTCCAGGTTGGTTACCAAGTGGTACTTTGGGTGTCTGGGACACCTGGAGCCTCCCCAGCAGAGGAAGGAACCACAGAACTGACCAGAAATGACCCTCTGGGTGGTCCTGCCCAGGCCTGGCTGAGGCAGGGAACTGGCAGCTGGGCCCCAGCACCCGCCCCCTGCAGCTCTCCCAACCCCCACCCCAGGCTGAATAGAGGCAACATCTTTGGGGTAGGGCTGAGCTGGGGGTGTTTGTGTGGCCCCCTTGGTCCAGGCAAAGTGCAAAGAGAATGTCTCTTTCATTCCCCCCCTCACTGTCATACTTCCAGGGTGCAGTACAGCCTGGGACTTGCCAAAGAGGACAGGAGAGCCCCATGCCTGCCCTGGGGCAGGGTCCCTACTCTCTTATCTTAGATCCTGTGACCTCAGGTAGCATATCTGTGTCACTCTTACCTGAGCCTGATGGCCAGAGGTCAAATCCTGGATCTGCCACTACTTGCTACGTGACCTTGGGCAAGTTATTTAAACCAGGACAGTGTCCCTACTCTCCTATCTTAGATCTTGTGACCTCAGGTAGCATATCTGTGTCACTCTTTCCTGAGCTGGATGGCCAGAGGTCAAATCCTAGATCTGCCACTACTTGCTATGTGACCTTGGGCAAGTTATTTAGTCTCTTGCCCAGCTAGTGTGGCTCAGTAGTTGAATGCTGATCCATGCACCGATAGGTCACTGGTTTGATTCCCGGTCAGGACACATGCTCAGGTTGTGGGCTTGATCTACATGTGGGGCATGCAGGAGGCAGCCTATCGATGTTTCTCTCTCATCAATGTTTCTATCTGTCTCCCCCTCTCCCTTCCTCTCTATCTAAAAAATCAGTAAATATGTATTTATTTTTTTAAAAATTCACCTGAGTGCCCTGGCCGGTTTGGCTCAGCGGTTAGAGCGTCGGCCTGCGGTCCGGAGAGACCCGGGTTCGGTTCCCGCTAAGGGCATATACCTCGGTTGCAGTTTGTCCCCGGCCCTGGTTGGTCGTGCGGGTGGCAGCCACTCGATGTGTCCCTTTCACGTCGATGTTTCTCTCTCTCTCTCCCTCCCACTCTATCTGTGCAAAAAATGGAAAAATGTCCTCGGGTGAGGATAAAAAAAAAAAAAAAAAAAAAAAAAAATTCACCTGAGTGCCTCCATCTGTAAAATCGGGATTATGTTCTCCCTAAAGGTTGCTATGAGGATGTCAGCATATAGCAAGCATTTCGAACAGTTCCTGGTATAGAGTCAGCACTCAGTAGATGTTCGCTGTTAATTCTCCTGGAAAAGGGAGGGAATGGAACTCGGGCATGGTGAAGCTGAGGCACAGACTCGGGGACCTTCTGATTGCTTCTAGCACTTTTGAGCAGGTCCTCTCCCCTTCTGTGTGTGTCTGATTTTAAACCTGACTTCTTTTTTGTTAGAAGGGAGTGGGTTACATAGTATGTGGGCCCATCATGTAGTAGGCACAAAATAAGTAGTAAAGTGTTGGCACTGTATTTTTTTCAATGAATTTTCTTTAAGTCATGATCTTTCCTCTGACTCGGGTCAGTTAGGCAGTTATTTTCCAAACTGTGCTGCCTGTTGGTTTGGAAGTTTTGTGTCTTCATTCAATTCATTCATCATTTACTTTGCAGATATTTACTTGTACCTACTGTTTGCTGGGATGAGTGATGAACAGGATAGATCTTGGGAGAATATTCAATACATCCATATATAAAAAGTAGAGTTTCGTAAGTGGTGGTTGTTTAGGCTTAAGGAGCCTCAAGCATCCGGCCTGGCCCTGCCTTGGGAGTTTCCAGGGTGGGCAGCCCAGGGCCTCCCAGGCCGAGTCATCAAGCCACAGCATTGAGCTGCATACTGACCCGACCAACCACTGGGCTGAGTGAACTTGGATAGTTCCTTTCCCTCCTCAGAAACCCTCATCACATCCTGGCAAGCCATCCCCGATGAGGGTGAATACCCCTGCGTGGGTGATAAGGAGGCCTGATGGAGGGACTCCAGGCAGGGCCCTCCCCACACCCCTGGCTCCCCACTTTTTACCTGTCACCCACCTCAACACCAAACAGCCTCTCAGAGAATCTTCCCCACCTCGATTCTCCATAGTTAAGGCCTGTAAGTGCCTAAAAATGGTCACAAACTTCAGAGCTGGGAGGGCTTTTAAAAATCAGTTAGCTGTGCCCTGGCCGGTTTGGCTCAGTGGTTAGAGTGTTGGCCTGCAGTCCAGAGAGACCCGGGTTCAGTTCCCACTAAGGGCACGTACCTTGGTTGCAGTTTGTCCCCGGCCCTGGTTGGGTCGTACGGGAGGCGGCCACTCGATGTGTCCCTATCATGTCGATGTTTCTCTCTCTCTCTTCCTCTCTCTCCCTCCTGCTCTATCTGAATAAAAAAAAAAAAAAAAAAAAGGAAAAATGTCCTTGGGTGAGGATAACAAAAAAAAAAATCAGTTAGCTAACCCCTCTTGTGGAAGGGGGGTACTCAGAGAGGGAGACTAACTTGCCTAGGGACACACAGCAAAGTGGTGCTGAGCCCAGGCCTCTGTCTTTTCTCAGCCTGGTCTCCCCCCCAGCCCCGCCCTCTCTAGACCCTCTGTGCCAGGAGTAAATGAATTATCCTTTCCCTGCAGGGAGGGAGAGGCAGTTCCTGAGCCTGGGAACCCACTGATGTCATCACAGTGTCGCCATGGCAATTATTCCCCTGGATTAGGGGCCTGACCCTTGCCAGGCCAGGAAGTAGAGGAAGGAGTGGGGGGCTGGCATTTGTTCAGCACTTTAACGTTGACAAAGCACTTTCACAGCTACTCTTAACAGTACGTGGTGAGCCCGCTGCGTGCTCCACTATGTGCTGGCTGCCGCAGAGCGACTGTGATCTGCGCATTGACCGGAATGGGTGGTATTATCATCCCCATTTCACAGATTTGTAAACTGGGGCCCAAGAGGTTAAGTCATTTGCCCAAGGTGACGTAGCAAGTGGAGACTGAACCTGTGTTAGTACCAGCTCCCTCTGACACTTTGCCCATGCTTGAGGATAAGAAGCTCCCCTCCCCATGATTCCTATGACGACCCTTTTACAGGTGAGGAAACCGAGGCCAGCGGCCTTGCATTTGGGGCTTTTCTATCTGGAGCTACATTTTTCTGGCTTTTTAAGTGCCTTACCTGCCCCAATGCTGCCTTCTCAGAGAGTTTCCCATCCCTATACGAACACTGCTGGCCCAGGCCTTCCTGGATGGGCTGGGGAGTTCTGGGCCCATACAGTAGGTCGGTACCTTTATCTACTGTGTTAATGTTCTGTCCAGGCCTTTGTTTTTGGTCTGGATCAAAACAAAGGAATTTCTGGAAACTTTTAGGAAGAAGCCCATGGATGGATGAGCTGGGGCTCCAGGGTACAAACAAGGACTCCTGAGCCCTGGGGCTTGTTCAGAGGAACTGACAGGTGTGGCCATGGCTGCATACATGTGGGTTGTCGGTTGGGTCATAGTGCAGCTCAGCACTCCGGCCAGATGATTTCATGCCTGGGAGCTGCCTGGGCTTGTCATCCTGGAAACTCCCAAGGTCCTGGCCTCATGTCCTGGGCTGACCTGCTTCCAGGACAGTGCAGCCCCCATGGAGGAAATCCAGGCAGTGGGTAGGGTTGGAACAGCTGGCTGCCGAGGTGCACAGTGAAGTCTCCGGAAGCCAAGGAACAGTTTTCTGCCCCATGGGCATTTTCAGTTTCCATTCTATCCTTTAAACCCCCCCAGGGGAGGACAAAATACTCATATTTTAATTTCTTGAGTGGGAAGTCCTTTCTGTTGTCTGACTTGAATCCGTCTATTCAAGGATCCATGGAATTCTTGGAAGAGGAGGGCATTGGTGGGTGGTAGGGTTCTTCCCCAGGGCTTGGAACCCTATTCTGAAGTACTGTCTGTCCCCCACCAATTTCATCCTTTCCTGTGGCATTGACCTCAGATGCTGGCCTGCCAGACTCCAGGAAACCGCCAGGGCCGATCGGAGGCTCACTGATCAAGTCTCCCGAATGGCTATCTCCCTGCCCTCCTTTCTGGGCACCAACTTTGTCCATTGGCACAGCCCTCAGCTGGTCACTTAAACACTCCCTTGGGCTCTTGGCAAGTAGGGCCACATCCTGGCTAGGGTGAGGGCTGGGGCAGACCTTGGAGCTCTGGAAACAGCCTTCTTCCTATAGCTTTCTGGCAGGATGGGCTGGGGTCAGGGGTCAGGAGACAGGCAGATGAGGCCTTGCATCTTGGTGGCTCTGGACATTTGCTGCCAAGCTGCGTGACCTTGAGCATGGGACTGCATCTCTGTGGCTCCATTTCCTTATTTAAAATGGAGCTAATGATAGTATATGTTACAATTTAAAGATAGTTCATGTAAAGTGCTTGGCTCTCAGAACGCACTGAATACGTATTAATGGACTATCATTATTACTTGAATACTTTTTAGTTAAGGCTTCTGCTTTGAGTTGGGGGGTAGGGGTGGATGTCACTATAGGAGGAATTCTGGTCAGGATCTCTCTCCTGGCTGGTGCTGCCTCAGAAGTGGCCACAGGCAGAGGCCCTTTCTGCTCCCCCTGGCTTGACTCTAGTTCCTCTCCCCTCTGGTCCTCCAGGTGCGCTACAAGGAGGAGTTTGAGAAGAACAAGGGCAAAGGCTTCAGCGTGGTGGCAGACACACCCGAACTCCAGAGAATCAAGAAGACCCAGGACCAGATCAGTAATGTAAGCTCCCTGACCCTGTGGCACCACACTGACCCGATGCCCTTCCTTTTTGTCCCCTCCAGGCTGGCAGACATGAATGAGGCCCCTGGGTGGCTGGCTGATGGCTGCTTTCATAGAGGGAAGGGAAGGGTTTGGAGTTCCCAGATTCCTTTTCTCTGTGTACCCCAGACTCACCCGTTGCCACCCTCTACCTACACAGCATTTCTGCCTTCTAAGGACTGTACTTTGAGGGGGGGGGGATGCAGGGAGGGCCTATGTGCTCACTCATCCCCCCACTCTCTTTGAAGTTTTGTGGGTTTTTTCCTGGCTGTGGTGGGTGTTAGGGTCCAGACTGGCTGTTTTGTCTGAGCCCAAAGGTCAAAACTTCAAAACTGGGTGGCAGGGATGGGGAGGGGCCAGCCTCCTCCTTGTCTGCCTTTGGGTGCTGACACTGTAGTCATTTCCGCCCTCCCTCAGCTTCCTCCCCCACCTTGGCTTGTTCTTCCTTCCTGTGTAAAAACCCCAGCCTTGCAGCCTGCCGGCGCTGCACCCCCTGGCCTGGGCCTGCCTGGGCCCAGGCCGGTGAGCAGTGTCTGCTGTGGCAAGGCTGGTGTGGGGAGTGGGCCGCAGATCGCCAGGTCTGGTGGGACCTGTGGCCAGGGAACAGGCCTCAGTTTCCTGCTTGACTAAGCCATGGACCTGCAGCCTGTGTGGCTTTGGGCACCGGGGGGTGGGACTGCTGTGAGCCGCAGCACGGAGTACGGGCTGCAAACTGTGCCCGGGTGTTGGGCACTGAGCTGCCAGAAGCGCCCAGCCAGCTGGGCCAGGAGAGCCCATGAATGAAGGACTGGACAAGCAATTGTCTTCACGTCTAGAAGGGGAAGGGATCAGCACGTTGCCCAATGTCACTCTGGGCTGAGGGACTAGAGATAGAGGTTGTGGAGGGCCTGGGTTTCAGGTGGCCCAACTGGCATCCACCACTGCGCTTCTCATCCCACTACCTGGCTCCCCATCCCTCTGCCCAGCCTCCTTGTCAGGACATTTTAGAGGTTGGCTGGGCTCCAACAGTGGCTCAGGTGGCTTTCAGTAGCCAGGGTCCAGGCCAGAAGGAACAACCTTATGCCCAAGACCTTGGTTTTCAAACTTTGACTGCAACCTACCATATGAAGTACATTTCACACTGTGACCACCCCCCACTCCTATACAGGCCTGCTTATTTATTTAGAGAGAAAACAGAATCGAAACTTGCATGAAAGAGTCCTTACTACTGGAAGACATTCAGATAGTTTCTGCTTTATTTTGTAAGGATGCTGGTTGCAGACTTCACTGAATGGATTTCACAACTAGGTTGTTGACCTGCAGTTTGAAATTGGAGGCTTGGGGAAGTGGAGGGCTTCCCCTGGGCTAGGAGGATGGGCCTCGCCAGGCTCGAACCCCATGCCCTCCCCCGAAAAGCCTGTCTCAGTTGCTTCTTTACAAGTCAGGGCCTGGCCAAGGGTGAAGAAGAGGGGAAGAGGGTCTGTATGTTAGAACTCACGAGGGGAAAGTTGGAGGGAGGGAATAATGGGGAAAAGCCAGAATGGCTCACAAAGCTGGAATCTTGACTCTTCAGCCTCGTGGCTTTTCATTGTGAAGACTCTTGTCTTTTCTCATTGATGCTCCCTGTCTATAACTTCCAGTCTGTGGGTTTGAGCCGGTGTGTGTGTGTGTGTGTGTGTGTGTGTGTTGGGGGGGAACGGCGACGAGCAAGCGCAGTCATTTCTGCCTCCCTTTCTGGAAGGCTTCCAGAATCCTCCACACCCAGATTACGGCACCCTGTTTTCCCCTCCCCCTCTCACTAGTCATTGGATGTGTTACCTTCTGAGGAGTCCTGGTAACAGAACTCACTGTGGCCAAGACATTCACACCTGAGGAGATAGCCATCTTATCATTAACCACAGGGCTGCAATTAGCTGATTGTCCTCTGCTCTGAGGTGGGGGAGATGAGTTGAGTCTGACCTGGTTCTGCTTTTGCAGCTTTAGCTGAGACCTGTGAGTTGTGACCACAAAGCTGAGAGACTTGGTTTTAGTGAATGCAATTAGAGTCTGTCAAATGTGGACCTCCGACCAACTGTGCTGGAATCACTGGGGAAGGTTTATTGAAAATGCAGGCTTGAAGACCTCCTCCCCAGGTTCCTGAATCGGCGTCTCTAAGAGTGGGGCCCGGGAATCAGAATTTTAAAAACATTCCTTGGGTGACTTTGGTGCTCACTGATGTTTGAGAAACATTGCCTAAGAGTCTGAAAAAGCTTCAGCAAATCCTAAATCAGAGCATGCCAGGCCTGGCTGCATCCCATAATTCCAGGGGAACTTAAACCATACGTAGAGCCATTGCTAACTTGTCCCACATCCAGAAGAGCTTCGCCAAAGATGGTGTTTAGAGCCACACCTTTTGTTTTGAATCCAAAATAGAGTTCCTATGTATAGCTTGTCTCTCAGTTGCTCAGGTCAGCACCCAGTGACTCCCAGCTGTTTCCAGAGATCAGACCATCTTGCAAAGAGACGATTTGCCTCCCTGGAGGCATAAGCTGCAGACTAGAGGGTTTACCAGTGACAGCATTTGAAAAAGCAAGTGTCTGGTCTCCTCAGGTGGTGTTTAAATGCTTTGGTTGTGTGTGGTCTGTCCTGCGGAGAGGCAAGATGGTGAGGCAGGAAGAGCCAGTGAGAGCAGAAATCCAGCGTCTAGCATTCAAGGGCCGGGCAGGCCTCGCTGAGCCTCGCTTTCCTGATCTGTAAAAATGGGGACTGTAGACCCTACCTTAAAAGGTGGTTGCCAGGGAAATGTCAAGTGCTTGGTATTTGATAAATATCGTCCATTATTACTGTAAAGCAGTGGTTCTCAACCTTCCTAATGCCATGACCCTTTAATACAGTTCCTCATGTTGTGGTGACCCCCAACCATAAAATTATTTTTGTTGCTACCTCATAACTGTAATTTTGTTCCTGTTAGTCTTAGGCGACCCTGTGAAAGGGTCGTTCGACCCCCAAAGGGGTCGCGACCCACAGGTTGAGAACCGCTGCTCTAAAGGCAGACCTATTTGCCTTCTACATTGTGGCTAAGGATCGTGCAGTAAAGTTTGGCTAAAAGGTCAGGCCATTGTCGCCCTGGCCAGGTAGCTCCATTAGTTGGCACATCATCCAGTTACGTCAAAGTTGCAGGTTCGATCCCTGGTCAGGGCACATACAAGAATCAACCAATAGGTGCATAAATAAATGGAGCAACAAATTGATGTTCTCTCTCTCTCTCTCTCCAAAAGTAATAAATAAATAAATAATAAAGTTGGACCATTGTCTAATATGGAGAATGTGTGGAAAAATTAGAGGCAAGATACTAGTAAGTTATACATCTGGTGAGTGATTGTGTCCTCCTTAAAGGCATCTAAAGGGTTGAGAGGCCAGGGCCGCGTGCTGTGGGATGAAATTGATCTTTTCAGAACCCTGGCCTTTGGTCATGACCTCTAATGACCGTGTGGATGGGAAACTTTAATTGCTGAGGCCCCTTTCTGAGAGTCACTGCCTTCAAGTAGAGAAGCTATGCTTTTATTTACTTATATATTAATTTTATGCATATACTTTTATGTCTTTTAGCTTTATCTTTTTCTGTGACCTTGGCTGGTGAGTTGATTGTTCCATTCAAAGCCTGGCGTGCTTTTGTTAGCCATGACGTAGAAGCACGTGAGAGGAATCTGTGGAGTCAGGCCTTTGGTTTTCACCACAATCAGGAGAGCAGGGGCTCAGAAGAAAGAGAACATCAACTAGCAGAGAAAGTGTATTTTCTTTAGTTTTGGAATGGACCCTCAATTAGTCATCCTACAGTCCTGGCCAGCAGGGTCCTGGATGAGTGGGCAGAGCCTTAGGCCTGGACCTGTCAACCCACGTTTGTTTGGATGTCAGGGGCACAGTTAGAGCGTGGTGTCCTTCCATGGGGGCCCAGGACAGTTCTTAAGCTGGGGCTCTGCTGACATTTTTGGACTTACAGTGACCTCCATTTGGGCCTGTAGAAAAGCAGAACTTTGCTGAGCTTGGAGCAGGGATCAGCCAGGCCCTTGGAGTCTGAAAAATGTTTCTTTCCCTTTCAGATGTGCTATCACCCTCTAATGTGCCTATTTGCTTCTCATACCATTAGATCGGTCAGCAAAGTAATAACACAGGTTCCTCATTTGCTGGGGCGGGGAGGGAAGGAAGTTAAAAGCACTGTCCTGACATTTTGGCCAGGTGGGCCCAGGCAGAGGGAGCCGCAGCCTCCCTGTTCTCAGGCCACGGCCACCTCTGTGCTGCCTGCCCCGAGCGCACACGCCTGGTGTCCTCTTCTCAGCGGCTGAACCATCTTATGATTGTCCTCCCTTTTGAGAGGGAGAGGGGTGCTATTTGTGTTTGTTCCAGAACAGGAGACGTGAACCAGGACTAGGGGCAGAGCAGGCGTGTGGTCACCCTGCTCCACACCGTCCTCAGGAAGGGCCTGTCCAGCTGTGACTTTGTCCTCATGTCACCACCTCAGCTCTTACTGAGTAATGAAAGCGCTGCCTCGGGAAGTCATTTAACTTCTGAGCTTCATTTTCCTCTTCTGTAAAGTGGAACTTAATGTGAAGAGCTGAGCAAATGTGAAGGTTATGAATAATAATAAACGGTACCTACATTGTTTGAGGGGGAGGGGGGGTCTTTTCCTGTTCAGGCTGCCACTATGCCATCCACCTGGGTCAGCGGACCCTAATTTTATAAATATTTGTCCCAGTATAGTGGCTTTTTTTTTTTTTAATCCTCACCTGAGGACATTTTTGCATTTTTCTTCAGATAGAGCGTGAGGGAGAGAGGGAGGAAGAGAGAGAAACATCGATGTGAGAGAGACACATTGACTGGTTGCCACCCACATGACCCCAACCGGGGCTGGGGACAGACTGCAACTGAGGTACGTGCCCTTAGTGGGAACCGAACCCGGGTCTCTCCATTCCACAGGCCGACACTCTAACCACTGACCCCAACTG